TGTATTTCATCAAAATTTTGTAGCTTATTTTTCTGAATTGTTCAACCTTGAGATAAAAGAAATAGATGTAAAATTGAATAATAAAAATAAAGAAGACAAAAGTAAGTAAAAAAAAATATACACTTTTGCACACAAAGATTTAAAGTATAATAAGGTAGAAAAGCGAAACATACAATATTATAAAATTAATATTCGTTAGCAATAAAAATAACATTAAATATGTGTATAAGTATTTTGTAAAAATAAATTTTATAAATAACAGTTTTTTATTTTTCTCTTTTCTTTTGATTTAGCCGGAGAAGATATGGAAGCCGAAGAAATAGAAAGTCATATAAAACTCGAAAAACTGATTAAAGAATTTGAAATGGATGCAAAAATGATAGAAACGTTTAAAATTTACCACTGGAGGAGAGCATTCGAAATTTTAGGTAAAATGGAAGAAATTGTAAAGCGGAAGACAGAAACGGCAAATATGAAAAACGACAACTATAAAAAAGACTTTGAGAATGAATAATAAAAATTATATATTTTTGCAAAAATTCAAGTAAAGAAGAGCGAAATGTGAATGCAACATTATAAAATTAATATTCGTTTGTATTAAAAATAAATTATTAAGTATGTATGCATGTAAATTTATCAAAATAAATTTTATAGAGTGCGTTCAATATGTGCAGAATTGTAGATTGATAGTAGAACTAAATAGAGAATTAAACGAAATAAAAATGGACGAAATAAAAATGAAAAAAAAATAAAAAAGACAAAAGTAAGTACAAAAATATATATATTTTCGCATAGAAAAATCTAAATATATACATATAAAAAAGCGAAATGTACATACGATATTACAAAATTAACATTCGTTACCAATAAAAATAACGTTAAATACGTGTGTAAGTGTTTTGTAAAAGTAAATTTTATAAATATTTTTTCTCAATTTCCCCTCTTTCTATTCAGCTGAGGAAAATATAAAAGCAACTAAACAAATACAGAAAGTAAAAGAAAATATAGAGGAAACTCAAGACACAGAAAAAACGAAAAAATATACAGGAGCGATTAAAAAAGTAAAGAAAATGAGTGAAAAGATAAAAACGGACAAAAAAATAGACCAGATAAGTAAAGATATAAAAGATAAAAAGCACAAAGAAGATGAAGAGAACGTATATAAGAATCTCCAAGGTAAGTAAAAGAAATATATTTCTGCAAAGAAAAATCCAGATATATAAAAAAGAGAAATGCACATACAACATTATAGAATTCGTTGCATTAAATTCATTGCGTGATATTCAATTGCATTAAAAATGACAATAAGTATGTATGTATAAATTTCATCAAAATAAATTGTATAACTTATATTTCTCAAATAAACTCCCACTTCAAATAGTATTACCAAGTATTATCAGTTTTTGCACAGAAAGATCTAGGTATCATATAAAATTTATATAGTAATTTAAAAGAGCAAAATGTACATACAATGTTATGGAAATAACATTTGTTAGCATTAAAAATAATGTTAGTATGTATATATTCGCATTTTGTTAAAATAAATTTTATAAACTATTTTTCATTTCTCGCTTTTTTCAATTCAGTTGGAAAAAATATAGAAGCAACCAGAGAAACAATAAAGACAAGTGAAAATACAAACGTTGACAAGAAAATAAAAGAAATCTGTAAAGAACAGAACAAAAAAATAGAAGAACAGAACAAAAGAATACGAGAACAAAACAAAAACATAAAAGAAATCAGTAAAAAATAGGACAAAATAATATCAATTTTAGAGAATATGAGCAAACAAGAAACGACGACACACAAATACGATAAAGACTTCAAAGGTAAGTAATAAAAATATATTTTTTTAACAGATCCAGATATAGAAGAGCGAAATGTGCATGCAATATCATAGAATTAATATTTGTTTGCATTATAAATAACATGTGTTTTGTTTAAAATAAATTTGATTGACAATTGTTCTTTTCTTCCGATTTAGCCGAGGAAATTACAACAGCACGCAAAGAGGAGAAAAAAAATACAGAAGCAACCAAAGGAATAAAAAATAGTGATGAGTGAAAATATCGAAATGGACAAAAACATGAAGATATTGGATAAAATTATAAAATTGCAAATTGTAGTATATGTCGAGCAATAGAATCGCAACTACAGTATACATCTACAATGCCATCCTGAACGGTTTCTTTGAAGTATGATGAATTAACCTTTTATTTAAATATCATGTACATTTATACATAATGTGTAAATCAGTGCTTAATTCATCATCGACTTACATCACTTATAATAGAGACAATATTTGATTTTTCATTTGGCTTCGTTTCTTTTCTTCATTCATTTACTTTAGTTTCATTTACTTAATATTGTTATAATCAATAATTTCCTTCGACAAACTTTTAAGTTCGTTTAATTTAGAAGAGCGATCTCCGATTTTGTCATTAAGATGTTATAAATATATCTATTACCAATTAGTATAAATTTATAAATCTATGCAATTAGTATAAATTTATAAATTTTTAAATAACTATGCAATTAGTATATATTTATAAATATATCTATGCAATTAGTATAAATTTATGAATATATCTATGCAATTGTAATAATATAAATGTGATACACGATGTAAAGAAAAACCGGTATTTCTTATGTTGTACTTAAATGTAATTACGCATTACTTTAATAGAAAGAAAGATCATTATAACGATTAATTTCACTTCTTTCAAAATTCTTAAAAAATTATTTTATATATATAATATTAAAAAATATTATTTCCTAATTATTTTTGCCAATATTATAAATATTTCTACTTTGGAGATTCAAATTTACATCGTGTTCACAAAAAAAATTTAGAAATATTTTGTATACTGTATGGTAAAGTTATGCGACAGAAAGGAATTTTATTATAAAATTCCTGAATTGATTTAATATTTTTTCACCTATTAATTAATTATAATATTTTCCTTATCAATTTTATTAATGTGTGTGTGTATTGATTATTGTACTATTATATTACTTTATAATTATTTTTTATTATTTTGTAACCTTTCCACTTAGCTTTTACCTCCAAGAAAACTATGTCTAATAGTAACTTGACTTTTTTTCTTAATAGCATTTTGTGAATATTTGTAGCAAAAGAGACCATGCAATATCAATTAAAGAAAAAAAAATACTTTATAATAAAGAGAAAACCAATTCATTCAAATATATTGCAGTTATTGATTCGAAAACAAGAAATTTTTAGAAATTAATATATATATATATATATACATTTTCTTAGAAATAATAATTTTTAAAATACATTCTTGTGAAGTTTGATTTTTATGCTAAATTTATATGTATATTATTGTATGTATCTCCCTTATTTTGCTATAAATACAATAAAACCTTATAAAAATACAGCTTTATATATTCAATAAATTTAATAGGCATGCTATATTGTTGTCACAACTCTATACATGATATATTTATCATTTTAATTTACCGATACCCTACTCGACTTCGTAAACAATAAACAAGAACTCCCTTCTTTTATTGTTAATTCTATACAATTAATTTAATTAGCTTAACGTGTTGAACATATACAACTGTTAAAAATATGAAATTAATTAGAAAATAATTCGAACGCCCGACGAATCGCACGATCGGAAACGAATAAACTACGATATTATATTTGAACTCGACAGAATTTACACTACAGACTCGCCATTAACGATTCACGTATAGCATATTTATTCGGGATAACATATGGTTGGAAATCTTTTTAAAAAGAACAAAAAAAGAAAACTAGAGGTTTTAATACCTTTATTTATATATTGTTTGAAAAATTAGTGCAAACATAATTGTCATCGCTTCCATTATAAATTAAATTGAAGCGAAACTTGATCAAGATACAATAAAATATTTCAATAAATATATAGTGATCTGAATGAAAAAGGATGGCAACTCTGCGCTCATATATTGTACACTATGAGCACCCATTGTCGACTTTTGCAATAACAAAGGTCGTTCGATAAACGACAGACATCCATATAACGTAGGGAAAATATTGTGACCTCCCACATGCACACACATCATCTCCTTCGCTAGATGCAATTGTCATAATGCACCCCTCCTCTCCTCTCTTCCTTATCTTTTGCAAGTAAATTCGCTCGCGAGTAAATTAAAGCTCAACGTGCAATACCTGCGCGTTCATTCATAGAAAATTGCCTGACGCAGGTAGTGTTGTGCGCACTAGAAATGCAAAGTTTTAAGATTTATTTTTATATCGAGAGAGAGATTTTAATGCTGATGGCGTAAATAATACTTATAATTTAAATAGTATTTATAATTAATATAATTATAATTTACTTACAATAATAATATAAATTTTACTAATTTCACAAGTACATACATAGATTTTTATTTTTATTTATTTAATTTATTATTTATCTATTTATTTATTAAATATATATATTTTGGTTCTATTTTGAACATATTTTATACCATATATTATTAAATTAGATTAATTTCAATTATTTTAATATTCTTCTACTAATAAAATTTATTATTAATTTTTAAAAAATTTTACTTATTTATCGCTTTATTCTTTTTTTCAATTTTTTTTCTATTAATTCTTTTAATTTAGTAATCATTTTTAGGATTTTAGCAAAAGTTGTTTAAATAAATGAGTAGGAAATGAAATTTTTTTTCACGAACTTCTTGTCGTACATGGTGCCAGAATATCCGAACCTCCAGAATAGTTGGGGAAGATCTCGAGTCCCATCACAGCAGGTAATCTTTATCTCATCCCTATTGTATTTACTCGAGACGTAGGAAAAACTAACTGGTCAAAGCACAATACAGACAAAAATACAATAATTTTTCTCCATCTCCACATAAACACATGCATAGATAAAAAGTAGTGTTGTGCGCCTTGTATATACGTATACAACACATAAATGTGGTAGGGTAAATGGAATAATATTCTTGGTTGGGTTATTTAACAAAAGATCGCGCTCACGAACAGCACTCGAGAACAGTTAGCAGCGTGCGCAGCACATTTTTAACAGAATTTTCTTGAAGCAAGCAGGCATTCGTGAATTCTAATACTGAAAATGTACCAGTTCTATCTGTGATCGTTCCTAATGGTTCGTATAATAATTTAATGCTATAAGCAAATCAATCCATAAACACATAGCAACAATAATATAACATTAATGCATAGATTTCTCTACATTATACTAGCCTAGCGATGTTACACGTGGAGTTATGGCAGCCATTTATGGTGTCCCATTATAATGAGGACATATTATATATTTAACGATATATTATAGCGATATTAACGGTCTATATAGAATTCTGTGCATTAATGTTATAATTTCCATTCAGCAATGTAATTGCAATGTAATATGCAATAATTACATATTGTCAAATGAGAAATTATAATATTAATGTTATATTATTGGATTGCTTTGTGTTTAATGAGTTGCCCATGTTCATTCTTAACACTGTTGCGTATATAAGAGAGAAATAATTCATAAAATATATATGTTTACAAATAACTTAGTTCATTAAAAAAATAACATGAATTATATCTAGAAAATATTTATGAAGTATATTATACTTATTTAATTAATAAAAATTTAATAAATATATAATACTTATATACAATTTAAAGAATGTATTTTTTATATACAATTCTTACTATTTTTTGACAAACTAAGTTATTCATAAAAGTGCATGTATTATGTGAATTATCCTGCATTATTTGATTTAAGAGATATACATTAATAAAGATAGAATCGAAATTATTAATCCAATTTAAATATTATGCATAAAAGCTTGCCCATATAACAAAATTTATATAATTATATAAATTTATATAAAATAATATATATAAATTTATATAAAAAAGTGACTATTTATATTTTTTAAAATTAAGTAAAAAATAAGTTACATCCTCTAATTGAGTATTTTAGGGAATTAAATATACATACGGGATTTTATTATCAGAATAAAATAAGATATTTATTATGATATGCAATTTTATGTGTTTCGAGTTTCTTTTAAATTTACAAAATGAGCAAGTGCGTTATTTGATCTTTCTACGCGTACAAATACAGTTTTATAAAATTGTACATAATAATTTGATCCTTATTAAGTTACCTTCCTCCTTCACCAACGTCAAATAAAGCCGCGTCTATCAAATAATTTAAAGCTAATTAGGTACCAACAATTAATCTTATACAATTGTTTTTTTTCCTAACTAATGTAATTCGAGATTTCACAAAATCACTAATAAGTATATTTTTAACATTGTTAGTTTTCATTATAAAAGGGAGCTACTTTACAAAAGTATTTTATAAACATACTGGTAATTTGATGAAAACGCCAATTATCAATTATTTCACCACGCAACATATGCAACACTGAAACGACGCAATCTTGTATATAAGATTGATAACGAAAAAATTCTGGAATATCTGGGCTATCTCGTATAAAAAACGACAAAAAATTAGTTGATTATTGCTATAAATGCTAAAACAAACGCTAAGACTTTCAAGTGAAAAATATATATAAATTATATTTTATAAATACGGGTATTAAATAAACAATTAATTTTCCTCCTTTTTCATACATATTAATACACATAATGTTAAATTACTAATAATGTTTAAATTTTTTCAATAGATTTCTATAAAATATCTATATTTCCTATTCTGCGTAATTTCTGTTCAAATTTTTTTATAAAAGTACATTTCTATTTTCATTTTATTTTAAGAGATATTAATATTTATAATTTGTGAATTGTCAAAATATCTTGGAGAGATAGTTTAAACGACGGTTAAAAAAACGACAGTTAGAGAGAAGTTATAAACACAAACACTTGAGGTCAATATTTTCTTGTATCTACGTATACCCATTTGTCCCAAAGCATGTGGATAATGTGACGAAAGGCAGTTACTGGCAATTGCGAGTGAAAAACGACACATTACACGTATCGAAAGTCGTGTGTTAACAAATGTAAAAGACAAAGAGACGAATGTCAGAAAAAAGAAATGTGAGAATATTATATATTTTTTTCTCTTACATAATTCACATATAAATATTATATTCTATATTCGTAATATTTTTATCAATATTTAATTTCATTTAATTCAAAAATTTCAATATTAAACAAAGCTCGAAGTTTTCGAATTTTATAACGTATGTAACACATAAAGAAAAATTTTTAATTAATCAACGAAATAACAAAAGACAATATAAATATGAACTGCGATTACGAGTGAAATTTTAAGTGAAAATAATATAAAACTATAGCTCTCCTTTATTTTGAAACTCACCAAATTTCACTCGCATTTCAAAAGATCAAACATCAACAAGAATCTAGTTTCAATAAATTAAATTTTAACCATAAAAAATGTAAATACTTTCAGTAAATTCAACTTTCCATAAAAAGAAAATGTTAATTACTTGATTATATACACAATAACATTTCATTTATAAAAGCTATACATACCGAAAAGAATCGGTCACTTGACTTCATCATAAAAAAGTTAATGCATAATTCGGAACGGTTTGTAATATATATGTAATTTTGCTCCTTTACAGAATCAGATTTTGACAAGAATCAGATTTTGGCAAAAAAAAAATATAATTAAAATAATTAACAAATCACAACAACATACAATTAAAGAAAATAGACACAATGAGTAAAAATACAAAAACGGATAAAGAAATAGACAAGACGACTGAAAATACAGGAGCAGAAGGAGAAATAGGGAGAATGTGTGAAAATATAGAAGCGGGAGAAAAGAATGAAGAAGACGCAAGTAAATAAAATAAATACATATTTTTGAAAGCAAAAATCTAGATATAAGAAGAAGAAACTGCAGATACAATATTACGGCATTAATATTTATTAGCATTAAAATAATATTAAGTATATATGCATGTATTTTGTTAAGATATGTTTTATAGATAATTGTTCTTAATTTCTCTTTTCCTTTGATTTAATAGAAAATTATGTAAAAAAGGGCCAAGCGATGAGTAAGAGTACGCAAGTGGATAAAAAGATTGAGAAAATGAGCGAAAATAAAGAGACGAGCAAAAAAATACCACAGATGAGTGGAGAAAGAACAGAAGATAAAAACGAAGATGAGGATGACGATGGTAAGTAATAAGAAAATATGTTTGCAAAGCAAGATTCACATATACATACACACACACACGCACACACACACAAGTTTCGAAGGAGGAAATGTACATACAACACTGTAGAATTAATATCTGTTTCCATCAAAGATAGCATTAAGTATGTGTGTATATGTGTCTCATCAAAATAAATTTTATAGTTTACATTTCTGAATTATGTTGCCATTTCGTGTTAGTACCAGAAAATATAGAATCGGACAAGGAAAATAGCGAAGAGAAAAGTAAGTAAAATAAAAATATATATATATATATATATATATATGTATATATATATATATATATATATATATATATATATTTTCATAAAAAGATATTTGCCATATATAAAAAGAGCGAAATGTATATTATGGAATTAATATTCGTTAACATTACAAGTATGCATACAAGTGTTTTGTAAAAATAAATTTTACTAGATAATTTTGTACCTAATTTTTCTCTTTTTTCAATTCAACAGGAGAAAAAATAAAAGAGATAGAAAGAACAGAGGAGGTGAATAAAGATACAGAAAATAAAATGATCGAGGGAGATGAAGAGGATAAAGATGATAAGCAGGACGAAGGTAAGTAAAAAAAATATTTTTGCAAAGCAAGATCCACACATACACATACACACCCGCACGCACGCAGACACACAAGTATAGAAGAGCGAAATGTATACAACATTATAAATTAAACAACAAGATAAGAAAATTGGCGTCTCCGAGCCACAGCGGATGGTAATGGTAAAAATTCTTTTAATTGTACGCGAAAATTTAAACGCGAACAAGGCATATGCATATATTTTATTTGGTGCATTTACCAAGATATATAGATTCTCATTTTTGAGAAATTCTATAAAAACCCTCTTTACACCCCTGGAGAGACGTAGACGAGTTTAATTTTCGCGTAAAATTAAAAGAATTTTTAGGCATTACCATCCGCTATGGCTCGGAGACGCCAGTTTTCTTATCTTGTTGTTTAATACATAACGAGCCTAATTCCTTTCGATTTAGTTTAATTCACGCGTGGCTGAAAAGATCGCGTTTCAATTTTCATAGTTATAAACAAATAGGCGAGAGTGATATCGGTGTGGGGCTGAATAGCTCACTGGTAAGAGCAGTCGCCCGGCAAGCGAAAAACTCGGGTTCGATTCCCGATTCAGCGACTTCGCCCCGATATTTTTCTCGTCATTTCTGCACTTGCTGAATATCCGAAATCAATAAAATAAATTTTATAGCTTCTATATTGTACCTTGAGATGGAAGAAATGGAAGTAGGAATTGATATTCAGTACTAGCAAGTGCAGAAGAGAGCGAGCAAAGCGAAAAAGACGCAAGTAAATAAAATAAATACATATTTTAAACAAAAATCTAGATATAAAAAGAAACTGTGCGTACAATATTACGGCATTAATATTCGTTAGCATTAAAAATAATATTAAGTATGTATACATGTTTTTTGTTATATACTCATGCACACACACGAACGCACACACACAAGTATACAAGAGCGAAATATATACATACAAGATTATAGAATTAATATTCGTTCCCATTAAAAATAACATTAAAATTTTGTTTAAATGTGTACATGTGTTTTGTTAAGATAAACTTTATAGATAATTGTTCCTAATCTTTCTTTTTTCTATTCAACAGGAAAACATATAATTGAGATGGAAGAAATGGCGGTAGGAATTGATAAGGGAGCAGACTTGAAAGCGATCATAGAAATGATAGATGATAAAGATGAAAAGGAGGAAGATGAGAAAGTTGAAATGGACGACGAGAAAGATGAAAAGTTTAACGGTAACAAAAGATATACATATATTTTTTCAAAGAAAAACCCACATAGGTATAGGAAAACCGACATATATAATATATAATTGTAGAATTATAGAATTAATTATAGAAATATACATTTATATTAAGAATAACATTATATAAAGTATGTATGTATTTCATCAAAATTTTGTAACTGATGCTTCTGAATTGCTCAACCTTGAGATAGATAAAATAAGTGTAAAATGGGTCAATGAAAATAAAGAAGACAAAAGTAATTAAAAAAATATATATTTTTGCACGTAAAGATTTAAGGTATAATAGGGTAAAAGAGCGAAACATACAATATTATAAATGAATTATATAAAAATAGATTATTAAGTATGTATGCATGTAAATTTATCAAATTAAATTTTGTAGATTGGATTGAAAATACGCCGCTGCTGTACAGATTGATGATATACTTTATACAAATGTATAAAGAATTGAACAAAACAAAAATGAAAAAAAATAAAAAAGACAAAAGTAAGTACAAAAATATATATATTTTTGCATAGAAAGGTCTAAATATATACACATAAAAGAGCGAAATATCCATACGATATTATAGAATTAACATTCGTTATTAATAAAAATAACGTTAAGTGCGTGTGTAAGTGTTTTGTGAAAGTAAATTTTATAAATATTTTTTCTCAATTTCTCCCCTCCCTTTCTATTCAGCCGAGGAAAATATAAAAGCAATCAAACAAATACAGAAAGTAATAGAAAATATAAAGGAAACTCAAGACACAGAAAAAACAAAAAAATATACAGGAGCAATCAAAAGAGTAAGGAAAGTGAGTGAAAAGACTAAAACGGACAAAAAAATAGACCAAATGAGTAAAGATATAAAAGATAAAAAGCACGAAGAAGATGAAGAGGACGACGTATATAAGAATCACCAAGGTAAGAAAAGAAATATATTTCTGCAAAGAAAGATCCAGATATATAGAGAAGAGAAATGCACATACAACATTATAGAATTAATATTCGTTTGCAATAAAAATAACATTAAGTATGTATGTATAAATTTCATTAAAATAAATTGTACAGCTTATAATTCTCAAATAAACTCCCACTTCAAATTAGTATTACTAGTTTTTGCACATAAAGATCTAGGTAACATATAAAATCTAGTCTAATATATAAAAGAGCAAAATGTACATACAATGTTATGGAAGTAACATTTGTTAGCAATAAAAATAATGTTAGTATGTGTATATTCGCATTTTGTTAAAATAAATTTTATTAACTATTTTTCATTTTTAGCTCTTTTCGATCCAATTGGACAAAATATAGAAACAACCAGAGAAACAATAAAGACAAGTGAAAATACAAACATTGATAAAAAAATACAAGAAATCAAAGAAATGATGAAAATTGATGCAAAATTGAACAAGAAAATAGAAGAACAAAACAAAAAACTAGAAGAACAAAACAAAAAATTAGAAGATATAACTAAAAAAACAGAAGATATAACAGTATTACTGAGCAAAATAATTTCAATTTTATAGAATACGAGCAAACAGGAAGCGACGACACACAAATGCGATGAAGATTTCAAAGGTAAGTAATAAAAATATATTTTTTGAACAGATCCAGATATAGAAGAGCGAAATGTGCATGCAATATCATAGAATTAATATTTGTTTGCATTAGAAATAACATTATGTGTACATGTGTTTTGTTTAAAATAAATTTGATTGACAATTGTTCTTTTCTTCCGATTTAGCCAAGGAAATGACAACAGCAGGCAAAGAGGAGAAAAAAAATACAGAAGCGGCCAAAGGAATGAAAAATATGAGTGAAAATACCGAAATGGACAAAAAGATGAAGATATTGCATGAAATTATAAAATTTAATGCAAATTGTAGTATATGTCGAGCAATGGAATCGCAACTACAGTACGGTATACATCTACAATGGTGCCATTCTGAACGGTTTCTTCGAAGTATATTGAATTAACCCTTTATTTAAACATCATGAACATTTATACGTGATGTGTAAATCAGGGCTTAATTCATCATCGATTTATATCGCTTATAATAGAGACAATATTTGATTTTTCATTTGGCTTCGTTTAGTTTCGTTTCTTCATTCATTTACTTTAGTTTCATTTACCTAATATTGTTATAATCAATAATTTCCTTCGACAAACTTTTAATTTAAAAGAGAGATCTCCGATTTTGTCATTTTGTGTTAAGATGTTATAAATATATCTATTACCAATTAGTATAAATTTATAAATCTATGCAATTAGTATAAATTTATAAATTTTTAAATAACTATGCAATTAGTATATATTTATAAATATATCTATGCAATTGGTAATATAAATGTGATACACGATGTAAAGAAAAACCGGTATTTCTTATGTTGTACTTAAATGTAATTACGCATTACTTTAATACGAAGAAAGATCATTACAACGATTAATTTCACTTGTTTCAAAATTCTTAAAAAAATATTTTATATATATAATATTAAAAAAAATTATTTCCTAATTATTTTTGCCAATATTATAAATATTTCTACTTTGGAGATGCAAATTTACATCGTGTTCACAAAAAAAATTTAGAAATATTTTGTATACTATATGGTAAAGTTATGCGACAGAAAGGAATTCTATTATAAAATTCCTGAATTGATTTAATATTTTTTCACCTATTAATTAATTATAATATTTTCCTCATCAATTTTATTAATGTGTGTGTGTATTGATTATTGTACTATTATATTACTTTATAATTATTTTTTATTATTTTGTAATCTTTCCACTTAGCTTTTACCTCCAAGAAAACTGTGTCTAATAGTAACTTGACTTTTTTTCTTAATAGCATTTTGTGAATATTTTTAGCAATTTAAGAGACCATGCAATATCAATTAAAGAAAAAAAAATATTTTATAATAAAAAGATAACAAATTCATTCAAATATATTGCAATTATTGATTCGAAAACAAGAAATTTTTAGAAATTAATATATATATATACATTTTCTTAGAAATAATAATTTTTAAAATACATTCTTGTGAAGTTTGATTTTTATGATAAATTTATATGTACATCATTGTATGTATCTCCCTTATTTTGCTATAAATACAATAAAACCGTATAAAAATACAGCTTTATATATTCAATAAATTTAATAGGCATGCTATATTGTTGTCACAACTCTATACATAATATATTTATCATTTTAATTTACCGATACCCTACTCGACTTCGTAAACAATAAGCAAGAACTCCCTTCTTTTATTGTTAATCCTATACAATTAATTTAATTAGCTTAACGTGTTAAACATATACAACTGTTGAAAATATGAAATTAATTAGAAAATAATTCGAACGCCCGACGAATCGCACGATCGGAAACGAATAAACTACGATATTATATTTGAACTCGACAGAATTTACACTACAGACTCGCCATTAACGATTCACGTATAGCATATTTATTCGGGATAACATATGGTTGGAAATCTTTTTAAAAAGAACAAAAAAAAGAAAACTTCAGGTTTTAATACATTTATTTATATATTGTTTGAAAAATTAGTGCAAACATAATTGTCATCGCTTCCATTATAAATTAAATTGAAGCGAAACTTGATCAAGATACAATAAAATATTTCAATAAATATATAGTGATCTAATGAAAAAGGATGGCAACTCTGCGCTCATATATTGTACACTATGAGCACCCATTGTCGACTTTTGCAATAACAAAGGTCGTTCGATAAACGACAGACATCTATATAATGTAGGGAAAATATTGTGACCTCCCACATGCACACACATCATCTCCTTCGCTAGATGCAATTGTCATAATGCATCCCTCCCCTCTTCTCTTCCTTACCTTTCGCAAGTAAATTCGCTCGCGAGTAAATTAAAGCTCAACGTGCAATACCTGCGCGTTCATTCATATAAAATCGCCTGACGCAGGTAGTGTTGTGCGCACTAGAAATGCAAAGTTTTTAAGATTTATTTTTATATCGAGAGAGATATTTTAATGCTGATGGCGTAAATAATACTTATAATTTAAATAGTATTTATAATTAATATAATTATAATTTACTTACAATAATAATATAAATTTTACAAATTTCACAGGTACATGCATAGATTTTTATTTTTATTTATTTAATTAATTATTTATTTATTTAATATATATATTTTGGCTCTATTTTGAACATATTTTATACCATATATTATTAAATTAAATTAATTTTAATTATTTTAATATTCTTCTACTAATAAAATTTATATTTATTATTAAAAATTTTACTTATTTTATCGATTTATTCTTTTTTTCAATTTTTTTCTATTAATTCTTTTAATTTAGTAATCATTTTTAAGCTTTCAGCAAAAGTTGTTTAAATAAATGAGTAGGAAATGAAATTTTTTTTCACGAACTTATTGTCGTACATGGTGCCAGAATATCCGAACCTCCAGAATAGTTGGGGAAGATCTCGATCACAGCAGGTAATCTTTATCTCATCCCTACTGTATTTACTCGAGACGTAGGAAAATCTAACTGGTCAAAGCACAATACAGACAAAAATACAATAATCTTTCTCCCTCTCCACATAAACACATGCAGAGATATAAAGTAGTGCTGTGCGCCTTGCATATTCATATACAACACATAAATGTGGTAGTGTAAGTGCAATAGTATTCTTGGTTGAGTTATTTAACAAAAGATCGCGCTCACGAATAACACTCGAGAACAGTTAGCAGCGTGCACAGCACATTTTTAACAGAATTTTCTTGAAGCATGCAGGTATTCGTGAATTCTAATACAGAAAATGTACCAATTCTCTCTGTGATCGTTCCTGATGGTTTGTATAATAATTTAATGCTATAAGCAAATCAATACATAAACAAATAGCAACAATAATATAACATTAATGCACAGATTTCTCTACATTATACTAGCCTAGCGATGTTACACGTGGAGTTATGGCAGCCATTTATGGTGCCCCCTCCCCCATTATAATGAGGACTTATTATATATTTAACGGTATATTATAGCGATATTACCGATCTATATAGAAGTCTGTGCATTAATGTTATAATTTTGATTGTGCAATGTAATTGGAATATAATATGCAATAATTACATATTGTTGAATAAGAAATTATAACATTAACGTTATATTATTGTATTGCTTTGTGTTTAATGGGTTGTCCATGTTCATTCTTATCACTGTTGCGTATATAAGAGAGAGATAATTTATAAAATATATATCTTTACAAATAACTTAGTTCATTTAAAAAATAACAAGAATTATAAGAACCCTAAAAAAAACCTTATAAAGGTAAAAAAATACGCCAAGTAATAAAAAAATAAAAAAATCTAAAACAGTAATAAAAATAAAATATTTAAAAACCGATATGAGATCAATACTGTAAGCCACAATAAATTATGTGATATTAATTCGTAATCGATACTAAATGAGTTAAAACTACTTTAATTCCTAATACATTTTTTATTTGATGTATATAATTTAAAAAAGCTTTACACAAATTCGAAATCGCCTTCAAATCAATCATCAAATCATCAAATCAAATCATCAAATCAATCAATCATAAATAACCTTCAAGTCGAAGTAAGATATGAAAACTTGGCGTGCCCCGTATTTAAATCATATAGTTTAAAATAGAGAAAGGCTAGATTTTTGATGGGTCCAATGTAGAATTTGAAATTACACTACGGACCGCGCACACGCGTAGCTAAATTTCGAACTTATATATCTTGTCTCCTTTGTATTACCTGGAAATCACCACACAGAGATTAGGCAAAATGAAATCTCTTTTTTTATAAGTTTTTTTATTTTCTCTGCAAGTAAAGTTTGATTGTTGTAAGTCGGATTAAAAAGCTTCGCAGGTTGTTTCTGGCTCATAGATTGCCTGTTGCATATTCGTATTCTAAAGCTTATTTTATAAAAATGTAAATTGTACTTACTAAATAAAAGGATCAACAAATATATATTGTATATATGTATATTGTATAATCAATTTTTTATTTTATTCAAAATATGTAAACGATAGGGCTGGGGGAAGCACGCCAAGTTTTCATATCTTACTTCGACTTGAAGATCATTCATGCGATTTAGAATTCGTGTAAAGCTTTTTTAAATTATATACATCATATAAAAAATGCTTTAGGAATTAATGTAATTTTAACTCATTTAGTATCGATTACTAATTAATATCACATAATTTATTGTGGCTCATAGTATTGATCTCATATCGGTTTTTAAATATTTTATTTTTATCACTCTTTTAGATTTATTGAATTTTTATGTACTTGGCGTATTTTTTTACATTTATAAGGTTTTTTTAGGTATATATATATGTATATATATATATATATATATATATAATATGTTTGAATAAAATGATAGAAAAAAAGAGTAATCGAGAAAATAAAAAAAAGACAACTACAGTGATTTGAATATTTTAAACCTGAATGATTTGAATATCTGTACGTGAGAATAAATGTCCATAGAAAGTATTCCATTGGACTCCATAGGAAGGAATAAGCAAATGATGGTAATTCTTATGATTTTAACACAAAGGAATACAATAAACCATAATAATTCAAAAACTTCAAAGAAGAGAATATATTGGATAAATGCATAGTTATTGGAAATAATTAGAAACTAAAAGACAGTATGCATACAATCTATTTATCAATAATAATACTATTTTGTAATTATATTAAATTTTACAATTTAGTACCTTGTATTATATAAAATATTGAGCATAAAAATATTATGCTGGTATGAAATTATAATAAAAATATATAAATAATATTGATATATAAATAATATTGACTATATTAGAATGGAACATATGAATTCTTTATATTTTATATAAAGAAAGATACATTTAAAATATTTTGCAACATCTATATTTTTCGAATCTTAATTATAAAAGCTTCAGAAGAATCAGTGATTAATTTAACAAATTTTATATACATGTATTAATAATTAAATTTTTAAATGATTAAAGAAATGATTAATAAATATCAAAGATCAGTTTACTGCTAATTAAGAAGATTTATAGAAATATGGTTAAAAAATGTTTTTATCCCACAGCAAGTATTTTGTGTTTTGCAAATAAAAAGATATAAATATGATAATGAATATATAGAAAAATATTTCATCTAAACATTAACATTACATTGGAAGATTACAGTATCTTTCGCGATTCAATCATTTATTTACTACTAATTTAAATATATATTTATAAAATATTTATAATATTTATAAATATATATTTAAGTATCTTGTTATATAGCACTAGTGCTACCAGCATTTCGTATACAGGAACAAAACCAGAAATTGTACACATTATATGTTACCCTCTGAGAACATTAACTTTGGCTTTGTAGTTCATGTTCACAGAGGGAGTATCGCTTTCAGGGATCACCTAAAAGCGGGCCATGGCATCTCTCAGTCTTCTCTCTGGTGCAAGGACCTTAACAATATTGCCTCATGCCGTATAGTGGCGCTTCTACATCCGGTTAGAACTGTAACTACATTTATTTGAATTATGGATCAGGAGAATACGGGGATTTATGCAATATTAGCTTCAAAAAAGCTAACATTGTCTATATATTATTCTCAAATATCATACTTTAATTACTTTCAAACTTTTTTGATAATCAAGGAAATTAATCCATAACTGATTATTTTCAATAATATGCAAATATTAAAAATATAATTTTATCTTTTCCTATTAATAATATGCAAATATTAAAAATATAATTTTATCTTTTCCTATGAATCTTTTCCTACGAATATTATTAATAACACATAATAATTTATTATAATATATATGTATGTATATATTGTGTATTTTATAATTTATTACAACTTTTGATATAAAAATGAAAAGAGATATATTATCATGTAAATATTAAAATGCAAAATTGTTATAAATATTAATATTATATTATATTAAATGAAAAACAAAATGTGTGTATGAGTGCATAGCAATATTGCATGTGTAAAATTATATACTGATTCAAATATGATTAATATTTCAAATATGATTAGATCAAAAATAGCCTTATAAGCACATAATATTTCTAGAATTATCCTAGAATATAAATACTATTGTATAAATATTACTAACTGTTAATAATATTTATACAATATATTTATAATATTTGTATATAATATTTATACAATAATTACAATATATATAATATTTATATAATATTTACATTTTATTTACAATATTTTCAATATTTTTTACATGAATTTACAAGCATATATTTTTTGAAGTTTCGAAGTTTCAAAGTTAACTTCGAAATTCAAAACTTCGTAGCTTAAAAGACACTTCAAAACTTCGAAGCTTTGAAATATTTCTTGTCAAAAGTAACAATTCTATTTTGTAATCGTATGCATAAATAAGTGCAATGTTGGTGAATGTTTATTCCAATATATTTATAAATAAGTTTTGTAAAAATGTCTTCGTATCTTTATTTTCTAATTTTATTAAAACGAATAAGCGATTTTCTAGACAATTTATCTTATCGTAATAAATGATTCACTGTTACTATTGATGGCCGCAATGAGATAAATCGCTCGAATATTTCTTATCAGTTTCTATCAGGATACGGATACGACAAGATGTATCATAATATCTCATTTTCGGAAAAAATAACCTAAAAACATCGCAAATAATATTCAAACTATCAAATTTCATGTAATTCAATGCGATTCTTTACTATAAATAGTATATTATTAATGTGAAAAATACAAATTCGAAGTGAATATAATGTGTGTGAAGTAATTATTTTTATAATTTAAAAAGAATTTTAATTTGTAAAATTATACTTTTTATTATTCAAAATTATGTAATATCTGTAAAAATTTGTACCATGAAATTTTGAAAGTGAAAAAATATATAAAATTGTTAAACCATTATGATATATATTCGACTAATCGATAAAATTAATCAATAATGAGTAATCTTTTGTGAGATTAAATCACATAAATGCATATATGTAAAACTGAAAATTTTTAAATGAACAATCTGCTTAACTATTCGTCAAATTTTAAATCAAACTACTTGCATACGCATTAATTCCAAAGTGAGAGCAAGAAATAAAGGGGATTTTATATATATGTGTGTGTGTTTATATAATATTTCAAAAAAATAATAACTTGTACACAATTGAAATATGGCATGAAGATATATATCTTGAACATATAAATGAAAGAAAAAGTGTCAATGCTTATTATATATATAAGAATATAAGTTTTCTTAATTATGACATAATTTTAAAGTATCATACAAGAAAATGGTTAACCGACAATTGCCACATCCGTTAAATTCGAGTCTAGAAAATGTTATTGCGTCGAATTCGAGAATGGAAATGCAACCGAGGTTCTCGCGATCCGCTTCTCTGGGCAGAAAACCAACAGGATCTAAGAATTTTTCATCGAAGAAACAAAATACTCGTCATCGCAGGTATGGTCGTCAAATATTTTATTTTATTAAGAAACGTTGTGTGTATGTGTATGTGTTGTGCGTAATTGATGATATGATCGGGAAGATTACACGGAAGATTGATCGGGAAGATTGAAAAAATAACAACATGGAATAAAATTTAAAATTTATATTTTATTTAAAATATGAAAACGATTTAAAATAATTGAGATTATGCAACACATATACATGCACATATATATATATATATATAATTGATATTCTCAATAAATATATTAATAAATATATTAAAATTATATTTATTTCTCAATAAATATATTAATATATTAATCAAATTTTCATAAATTATATTATATATGTATTTAATTGGCCCTTGACAATACAAATATGCTATTCTAATTATTGCTCTTTTCTCGTGCAACAAGTGCACAGCCTTAGATTATAATTATTGTTTATATTTTCTGTTGGAATAATTTTATTAATTTCACAATTATTAATTATAATAATTATATTCATTAATTTTTATTTCATAATAGGACGGCTTCGCTCGGAGCTATTGACGTATCGCAATGCGTTGTATGCAAGAACAAAGTACAATCACTCAAAACGATGAAATGTCGTCACACCTTTTGCATGCAATGTTTCAAAAATCGATTTATGATATCATATAAAAAAGGTAAATTAAAAATACCATTTTTACGTAAATAATATCATGTTTTCTGTCTTAAAGTCAAATCTTACAATTAGAGTCAAATCGATTGACAAAAACTTGTAAAAAGAACATTTAAACACGTAAATCTTTATCTTTCGTAATATTTAGTTTAGTTTCTTAAAATAATGTATTTATAGAATTTGCAATACTTATAATATTATACGCTTCCTCTATTGTAAATAGATATTTGACTTATTGTTAATTGAAGACTTGAATATTTTTTGATAATAATTTTATTACCAAAAAATTAATTAACATGTAATGATAACGATCGCAAAACACTTATTAATTACCATAAATTTAAAGATATAATTAAAGAATAAAAAAAAGATATAATTAAAGAATAAAAAATAATTTTATATTAATATAAAATAAATTATTAATATAAATTAAAAATAAAATAAATATAAAATAAATTATTAATATAAATTAAAAATAATTTTATAATAATATAAAATCATTAACGTTAATTAATTATTAAAACGTTAATTAATTATTAAAAAAATTATTCATAAAATCAAACAACATTCCGATTATGCTTTAAATTTTTGAGCGAATTAAAATTTTTGCCATATATATAATACCGTGTTTATTTTAGATGGCGGTACAATTTGCCCAGTTTGCAATGTAGTAATAATCAATGCAATAGATAAGAAAGAGTTAAAAAGTGCGGTAAGTTTCGCGCCCTTACCGCCAAAGATCCGAGACAAGAAATGTCGTACCTGCGGCGAATTTTGTGAGGATAAGTGTAAACACTGTAAACGCGTAAGTAATTCGAATATTTTAAAGTTAATTGATAATTTTCCATTTTGCAATTTTCTTTCTATCAATCTCTTCACGAATTTTTTATATTAATAAAATAACATTTTGCAATAAATCTATTACCACTAAATTCTGATTGTAATTATTAGAACATTAATACTTGGAAGTAAAGAGAATAATGAAGAGCTAATAAACATTTGAAAAAAATATATCTATTAAATAAATTTTTTCAGTATTTTAATTTTAATATAATATTTTCACAGAGATTTTGCGATGTTTGCTTGATAAGTCATATCAATGATTTAAAAGAAGAATTAGGTAATATAAATGAAGATCTTAATACATCAGCCGTGAGATTTGAAGATAAAATCAGCAATTTCCAGGTAATTGTTATTTATTAGTCAGAATAAAAAAAGTATTTATTAAAAAACATCCACATATATGTTATTTTAAAGAATCAAACGTCATTTAAATGTGATGAAATAGAAGATGTATTTTGCTTAAAGCTTGAACAAATGATGTTCTGTTGTTAAATCACTCGGTGAAGATGATTAATTTCTTTGTTGTAGAGCAAAGCAAACGAGATACGAGAGTTTATCAATAGAGATATAGAAGGCAAAGTAATAGAACTTCATAAGAAAAGAGAAAATCAGATTAAGAAGATCGATCACATAGTTGCTGCGGGTGAAACATCGGTGGGGGATATTAGAGAAAAACTGAACAAGGCCCAGATGGAAATAAGAGAACAGAAGGAAGTTTCATATGATGCGTTGCCCGATAATGAGAACAAGGTAAGATAACATTTTAAATTTTTATTTTATCTCTCATCTGACATTTTGTATTTATTTAATTTATGCTCATTATTCACGTTTGTGAGTAAAATTGCTCTGAAGATGAACGAAAATAATCTTCAAAATTTTATTTCTTTTAAAATTCTTTAAATTCAGATAAAAATATATTTATTTGTGCTCCATTTTTATTGCGCCAGCTAATATTTGTTCCTTAATTTAATTATTTAAAAATAATTATTTTATAAATTATATTTTATAAAATAATTTTATTAAATTATTTATTTTATAAATTATATAAAATGCATAGTTTGAACACTGGTGGAAATATATTTGATCTTTTTTATATTTTACATATTTATTTACTTACACGCATCTATCTACATGAAACAATTTCTTATCAAATAGAACGAAGAATAATACGTTCATATAATATAAATGCAACAATTATATGTTTAACAAAATTATATAAAAGATTTTAAATTGTGAAATTGAAAACACATTTTAACACAAATTTTTTAGTATTACATTATTAATATTTATAATTTTATTATAAATTTAATAAAAATTTTAAAATATTTAACATTACACATTTAATTAATTTGCGACTTATATTGCATAATATTTTATTGAAAATAATAAAGAGCAGAATTTAAAAAAAATGGATGAGATAGCGATTTATTATCATACATTGTGTATTGATTTTACCTTGATATCAAATATTTTATTGAACTGTCAAATATATAATCCTCATACACATATTCTAAATTAATTCTTTTTTGTAATAATATAAACTGAGTTTTTTTGCCTTTCTGAGAGACCGAGAGAGAGAAACAGATACTATGTCCGGTCTCTCCTCTGGTTCTGAAATCTGGACCAACGCCGTACCTGTCTTGTGCAGGATGCCTCATAGTATTGATTACTTGAGAGGAGGAAGGTATGGAGGAGGAGGGGGAGAATGGTTGGCGAATATATGGGGCTTTCGAGGCGAAAGAACGGGTGGTTTGGTCGGAATTTTCATCGTTTCCTGCAAAACCAATAAGATAGACGGAAAGCGAATTCGAGACGAAAAAATACTGATAATAACGAAAACAATGACCATAAAAAATGTAAAATTTATTTCCGAAGAAATATGGCAAAGTACGACGTAAAAAATATGATAATTAATATTCCGTTAAAAATGTAATAAAAATAAAATACGATAAGCAAGGGGTTGAGATCGAGCTGATTGTCGACGAAATAAGCAGTAAAACATAGTACATCGCATACGAAAAAGTTAAATCGCATGTATACAGAATTATTATAATTATTTGCAAAGGATATCTACTGCAGAGATTCAATAAAATCTAATAAATAAAGAGAGTTCATATAATTTTCCATGTGCACGTAAAGAAATATTTTTTTTATCATTTATGTCGTATTTTATATCACGAAAAATGGCTTCCGTAACAATTTTAACAACGTTAAATTGAATTTTAATTGGAATTTAATTTAATATCTATTTTTTTTTCTCATTTTAATTCTGAAAGCAAAAAAGAATTAGTAAAATTACAGCAGTTAATATAAATTTTATAAATTTATATAAATTTTATGTTTTACATTAAGTAAAAAAAATCATAGATATTCTATAGATTGTTAATAAAACTTTATACATTTCGGAATAACTAAATTTTATTTTCAATAAAATTTAATTAAAAGTTTAATTGTCAAAATGTACAATCAAACTTTGCGTCCACTTTGAAACATATTATTTCTTTCTTAAAGTTTTGGAAAAATTTATTTACAATTTGTCTTTTAATTAAAAAATCACATTAATATATAATATACAGGGTGTCCCAGATCACCCGTACACCTCTTTTAAAATGAAAATAAATGGCTTTTATCAAAAATCGCGAACAATTTTTAAGTAAATCGGGTGCGCTCTATCAAATGGTGATATTTTCAACTTTTGATTCCGATTGAAAATACGCCATCCGGATCGGAATTTTTTTAGGAGAACATGTTACTTTTTATCATAAATTCGAATTGTACGCGAAAAAATAAGAAACTTTTGTATCAAACGTTTTTTCTAAAAGTACCTCTGTCAATCTTAAAATTGATCTTGAAAGTAACTGTGATGAAATAATGAACTTTCAATTTTAAGATAACAGAGGCACTTTCAGAAAAAACATTTGATACAAAAGTTTCTTATTTTTTCACGTACAATTTGAATCTGTAATAAAAAGTACATGTTTCCCTAAAAAAATTCAACTTCCGATCCGGATGGTGTATTTCCGGTCAGAATCAAAAGTTGAAAATATCACCATTTGATAGAGCGCGCCCGATTTACTTAAAAATTGTTCACGATTTTTTATAAAAGCCATTTATATTCATTTTAAAAGAGCTATACGGATGGTTTAGGCCACCCTGTATAATTATTATCCTGCGTGTTACATATGTGTATGTATTGAGAAAGGGAAATATTTTATTATAAATAATCATGGGAAATAAATAACGCTGCGGTCCAAAACAGACTTGAACAAAAGACTCGATAAAATGGGAGAATTAGATGAATATTATAGAGAGCTCTGGAGTGATTTAAAATGTTGAAAAGTCGCGTTTGTATCCGAAGGAGCCGACATTAAATCGAGAAAAAAGCCGACGAGAAACGTGCCGTGTAGCCGGGAAAGAGATAGAGGGATGAGATGAGAGCGGGTTCGCGAACCGATAGAACCTAACCCGGGATAGCTGGAGAATAATGGTGTTGGTGTATAAGGCACGAGCAACGAACGTCTGCTACTGACAGCCCATTACCACTGTACAAACGCAGACACGGCGGTCTGGTACGATGGCGAAGGCTTTTCCGAATCCTGTCTCTTTCTCCGCAACGTGGCTTTCCTCCACCTCCTTCTTTTCCACCTTCATCCATTCCTCTCTCTCTCTCTCTCACATCGTTTCTTCTCTCCTCTTGCCTATCCCTCACTTCCCCACCGCCCCCCCCTCCGTCATCCCCGAGATATCAAAGATCTCCATCCTACCGAGAAGTAAACCAAATAATGAGATACACTTGCGACTTCGCCATTGTATTCTGTTACGGAAATATGGAATTCTAAAAATTTTCGCAAAATACTTTGCCAAAAATATTCTCATATATATTTTCTTTTATCATAAATCGATTCTTAAAAAAAAAAACTTGTAATTGATCCGAGTCGACAGTTTCCTATTACTTTCGATCAAATTTTTCAATTCACAAATTTTGTTTTCATCAAAATATCTTTAAATTGATCTCTTAAATCTATGGAACTTACAGTTTTGTTTAAATTTTTATTAAATCTCTAACAAGGAAACTGTTTGTTTATTATATTGAGATACAAAGTAGGAGCTTAATTTGTATGTAAAGTAAGCGAAAATCGAAATCTACGACTCCATAAATGTGAGAAAATTGAAAATAGAAGGAAAACTTGACGATTATTTGATTTTTGATATTAATTTTTTCTATCCTAATAATTAAGTCAGATATTAAATTTTTCAAGTGTAAATTTTGATAATGGAAAGGCAGTTATCATCCATTTATTTTCTAATTTCTCATTAAAATTTTTACATTACTGTCGTCAAATATTTCTAATAATTTTTAACGATAATCTAATTAAAAATATATAAAAAATATAATAAATATATAATAAAAATATATCTGAAATTTATTAAAAATATATAAAAATATAATAAAAATATATCTGATATCTTTTACAATACATTTAGATGATATCTTTTGAAATACATTTATTTATTCTACTATTTTTATTATATTTGTTCAAGCATATCTACGGTACTTGTTGTTTGAAAAAAAAAATGAATACGACTTTTTAACATCTTAAATCATTTTAAAGCTCTCTCTAATATTTATCTAATTCTCTAATTTTATTGACTTTTTTGCTCAAGTCTATTTTAAGTCACAGCGTCATTTATTTCTGATGATTATAATAAAATATTTTCCTTCCCGCATACATATATGTAATGCACAATATAACAATCACATATTTTACAATATTAAGATGATTATAAAATGATTTTTTAATTAAAAGTTAGCCGATAAATTGAAAATAAGCTTTTCCTAAAATCTTGTAAGAAATCATATGACGCAAAAAGTTTGATTGTATATTTTGATAATTAAACTTTTAATTAAATTTTATTGAAAATAAAATTTAGTTATTCCGAAATGTATAAAGTTTGATTAAAAATCTAGAGAATATGTATAAGATAATATATATAAGATTTTTTTCTTTAATTGTCAAACATGAAATTTATATTAATTGTCAATTTTATCAATTCCTTTTCCTTTCAGAATTAAAATGAGAAGAAAACAGATGTATTAAATTAAATTATAATTAAAATTAATCAAATTAAAATTAAAATTGATATAGAAATCTTCATTGTATAAAGTTCTACAGAAATGATTAAAAAAAATTTTTTACGTGCATAGAAAATCATATAAACTCTTTATTTACTTACTAAATCTTATTATCTATAAATCTCTGCATAATAGATTTTTCGCAGATAATTATAATAATTACACATAATGAAATTTAACTTCTTCATATGCAATATATCTTATTCTATTAGTAATCACTTTAATCTACCGCTTATCATATTTTTATTATATTTAACGATATATTAATTGCAATATTTCTTTACGTCATACTTTGCATAGTATTTCTTTAGTAATAACTTTCATGCAATTTTTTCTGCGCATCGCAATGTTTTCGTTATCGTCAGCATTTTTTCGCCTCAACTTCGCCTTCTATTTACCTTTTTTAGACGCCTCTAAAAATTTATATATTTTAACATATCTAAATCTTGAAGAACCTCTACAGAAAGAAAATGTTGTTCAGTTGCTAGAAAAGAATTTTGCAAATTATACACTCACGTGGACAAAATGGGGGATCCATCCTGAATCAATTCAGTGTATATTTGCTCAGTCTTCTCTCTCTTTCTCTCTCCATCTATCTATCTTTCCTCCCTATCTC